ACTGGGCCAAAAGATCTTTGCCCCATATTTCTCCATAGCCAGGAAACTAAGCTACTGACTTTGGATTTCTGATGCAGCTCACACTCATACACACACACATACACACACACACACACATACACACACACCAAACATCATTATAATCATGCTTGCCAGAGGAGTTAAATATCTGCTTGATATTTTCTTTGCCTTTACTATCAAACGTTGCTGCTTTGGCTTGGTTTAATGTAGAAAACTTGCAGAATCTGAACTGTAATGAGTCTTGGAAATATGGTTTTAGGTTTCCATGCACTAACATGCAGTAAGGAACATTAAAAGGGAATTGGGCTGGAGTTGAGTGAGCTTTTATAAAATAAATTTTGTATCTGTGTTTAACTGAAATTCCCTTAAGATACGTTTTCTATGGATTCATATGTGTATATGTCAATTCTTCTTAACTGGGGGTACTTTTGCCCCTTGGGGACATTTGGACACACATCATCTTTGACTGTCTCGCCGGGGGTTCGGAACTGATATCTAGGCAGCAGAGGCAAAGAATGCTGATAAATATCTTACAATGCACAGTAGAGCCTCCAACAACAGATATCAATAGTGATGGAATTAAGAAACCCTAATATATGTGAATACATGAAAGATGAGTAATTCATAACTATAATTATCTCTGGGGAAGAGAGACAAGGACTTTATTTAAGAATGATGATCAATGACAGTGGCATTTCTTTACACAAACAATGAAATATCAGAAAAGCAAAGCAAAGAAAAACATGCCTTTTAAAATTGCATCCAAAAAAATAAAATACTTAGGAATAAATCTAACCAAGGAAGTGAAAGACTTATATGCAGAGAACTACAAAACACTGACTAAGGAAATTAAAGATGACATAAAGAAATGGAAAGATAACCCATGTTCTTGGATTGGGAGAATTAATATTATTAAACTGGCCATACTACCCAAAGCAATCTACAGATTTAACATGATCTCTATCAAATTAACCAGGATGTTTTTCACAGAATTAGAACAAACAATCCTAAAATTTATATGGAATCACAGAAGACCAAGAATTGCCAAAACATTACTGAAGAAAAAGAATTAAGCTGGAGGAATAACCCTCCCATCCCAGACTTCAGAAAATACTACAGAGCAACAGTAATCAAAACAGCTTGGTAATGGTACAAAAACAGACATGTGGATCCATGAAACAGAATAGGGAGTCCAGAAATAAACCCACAGACTTTTGGTCAACTAATCTTTGACAAAGTAGGCAAGAACATAAAATGGAGTAAAGACAGTCTCTTTAGCAAATGGTGTTGGGAAAGTGGACAGCTGCATGTAAATCAATGAAGTTAGAACACTCTCACACTATTCACAAAAATAAATTCAAAATGGCTGAAAGACTGAAACATAAGACAAGACACTATAAATCTCTCAGAAGAAAACATAGGCAAAACATTATCCAACATAAATCTCAGCAATGTTCTCTTAGGGCCATCTATCCAGGCAATAGAAATAAAAGCAAAAATAAACAAGTAGATAAAGAAGGTTATACTGTATAGCG